GATTCATTTTTTCGGATATAAAATGCGTTTCGTGTTTTTTTTTACCTATATCGTAATGTTAAATGGGCTACACTTTCACGTATTAAAACAAAACAAAAAATTAGTCATGGAACATTTTGAAATTTTTAAAAACTCTATATTGTTAACAGAGCTATGAGCTAGGATATTGCAAATTTCCATGGAAATAGAGACATTTTTCTGTCTGAAAATGTGCTTCGCGCTTAGTTCAAGCTCTTGTACTTTTACCGAAGACAGCCTTAACTGCCGATTAAAAATTACGCGATTCGTTCCCCAATGCCACTGTTTAATACGTAGGCAAGCGTATGTGATGTATTGAGGGAGGGAGGAGGTAGAAAATAAATAAATAATCAAATCCACAAAAATAAATAAATCCTTCGCAAACACTGTCAAGGTCCTGTTATTGCATTCCAAAGCCTTCGAATTAATTTTATGGATAGCAGTTCACAGAAAAGATCGTACTTCGGAGAGATGTATATATACGTCTGAGCTAATTATCGCATTGGCTGAGAGAAACGTTTATATACGCCAGCGGCACTTAAGAGATTAAAGTTGTATTGTAGGTTAGCGTGAAAGTATAGTATTATCGAATTTAATACATTGGTACTGTATGGAGCGGGCGCGATGAAAAGCATGATTGAATATTGGATCGTAAATATTGGAAGTTTCAGAAGTACTGCAATAATGTGTTACAAGAAAGGATCATGGCTAAATCAAATGATTCTCCACAAGTAAAATCATCAGAGAAGCTACGTCCCAATAAAGAAATGTTTTATGAATTTCAAATCTTTCAGTGGTTTTATATTGTTACGAATTTTGTGTAAATAGTGTAAATAATGTATATTTGAATGTGTATAGCATTTATATTACTCTGTGTTATATTTATTTTATGTTAAAATTGTAATATTCATAAGCAATACCGTTCCTTACGCTATAGTGGCGATTCATTGAGAACTTGGCGAAATCTTGGCGATAGAGCCAAGTTGGCCTCACAGTTAACGACCAGGTTGGCCACCAATTTGGCGACTTTTGAGACCATGTTGGCGAGTTTGGAACCCTCTGAATTCTTCTAGAAAGTAGGAGGTCTCTCCACGAATTTCACGCTCTATGACGCGTGCGGATTTTTCTTGGAAGTTTCTACCAGCTTTATAAATAGAGCGGTGCTAGCCACAACCAGTCAGTCTTGATTCAACCAACGAGTAGTGAGCATTGTTTTGATTAGCTCGGCTGTGCTTGTGAATTACCTTTTACATGCGTGTAGTTTAAACACTGATAAATGTGTTCGATTGCTGTTGAAGGTATGAAGACCTTCGGAGATTTACTCTGTGAATATTCTGTGATTAATCCTGTAATTCAAGGATTGGATTTTCGTCAATAAATTATCATCGCTCTTAAAGAACTGTCTTATACTTTGTGACTGATTTGCATAAAATCCTCGAACCCGGATATACGTAGCAATATTTTGTAATAATGCAGTTGATTTTTTTAAAAAAATTACTCTAAGACAGTTATAATATTGCAAAAAAATATCAATTAATTATCTTCATAACCATTGCAGCAATCTCTTTTCCAATTTTAAAGCTCCCCTCCCCGTCTCCCGAAAAAAATGCATTTGGCATAAAAAGTATTTATAGGACATTAACTGTAAAATTGAAATGCTAAAAACAGTTGCAACTTTTGCACTGGTAAGAAGAAGATAAATTGCTTGGTATTTTTGTAAATGTAGAAAATTGCCCAACAAAATTAACCTATTATTATTAATTTTTTTTTTCAGTTTTGAACTATTTTTATTATTTTATAACGCAGTCGAATACCTTAAACAAAAAGTTTGGAAATCCTTAATCACGAGCTGTGATTTGTGCCGACAGAATTAGATTACCCCTTATATTTGAAAAGTACACACACACACAAAAAGTGAACTCTACCGAGTAGAAATTGTGGGAGAGGATATTTATTACATTAACCGTTTCAAAATGTATTTTAGGAAAATTTCGCCAAAAAAAAAAAAAAAAAAAATGCCCGTACATTAAAAAAAATAACTTGTTTTAAAACTTTAAGTTTGCACCTACTAATTAACAAGTAATATAAAAAAATCATTTAAGTCAATTCCTACTTAGATCAACCAAGAAAATTTTTATTTTAGCTACTTTTTATTAAATAGTTACAATTAATATAAATATGTATATACATATAACAGAATCCCAACATTAAGTGGTAAGAAATTCTTATTAATTATCATTAAGGTATCGTATTGTCATCCAAAACAATCGTCTATATAAAATTTCAGTTCAACTGACTGCTTTAAAAGGTGAGAAAAAACCTTTTCAAGTTTTGACACAAGTCGTCGAAAGGGTCGCCAAAAATGATGCCAAAGCGGCTGCATTTGTAATTCTTTAAGTAATTAGTTTTAATCAATTAATTTTTATTAATTATATTTAAATTATTGCATTGTCATCCAAAATAATCATGTATATAAAATTTCAGCTTAATTGAGCACTTTAAAATGTATTTTATTAAAGATTGAAAATTCCACCAAGATAAATAAATAAATATATAGAGAGAGCGAGCTAATAGTAGGAATTGAATAATACAAAAAAATATAAACTTTTTTGTGGAGAAATTGGGGAGTGGAGAATATATACTTATATTATTTTCTTCCACCAAACAAATCATTTTTATAACAACTAAAAACACAGTAAAAAAGAAATTAGTTACGCATGTTTAATTATTCAAATATATTAAATTTTTACAATAAAATTATCACTGGCATTTGAATATTTGTAACGGATATATCATAAAAGTTAGTAACAAATCTAATGCGTTAAGCAATCAAGTTTTAATATGGTTAAGTAGATCGGGTATTCGAGGATTTTATGCAATCAGTCGCAAAGAGCAAGAGAGTTTTTCAGGAGCGATGGAAATTTGTTGTCGAAAAACAATCCTTGAAAAGCAGCAGTTATATTCGCAGAGTAAATCTCAGAAGGCCTCCACACCTTCTACGGCGTTCAGACACAACTATCAGTGTATGTAACACAAGCATGTTAAAGATTATTCACAAGCACTCACTCGTCTTCCTCAACAGCCGAAGTAATCACTTATCGCAGGTAGACTCTTCACATTCGAATTAATATTACTCTTCAACGGTTAAAACAAGACTAACCCAGTTTCGGCAAGCGACTCCCTATTTATAGACCTCACGGATTTTTTTCGAAAAAATCCACTTGCGTCATAGATCGCGACATTAGTAGATATCTCCACTAATTTCCAGAAGAATCCATAAGGTCGCGAATTCACCAACATGTTGACCAAAAATGATGCCAACTTGACGCTATCGCCAAGTTTCCATTGAATCGCTATTATACTGCAAGGAACGGCGTTGCTTGCGAATATTACAATTTTAACATAAAATAAATACAACATATAGTAATAAAAACGTATTATACAACCAGATATAAATTATTTACTCTATTTCAAACATTCATTAAACAAAGTTCGTAACAATATTACATATAAAATATAAAACCCAAAACAAATTATGGTTATAAATATAACTAACCTTTTAGCCAAAGAAAAAGTAAAAATCATAAAAAAAACATATTTATTACGTTAAAAAATGAAATTTGAACCATTCACCTCCAGTGCAGAATGCTCCTATATATTAAATTACACAAAATAACATAAACCTTAAAAACATTGAAAAATCGACGCATTTTTTTTTAAAAGTGACTGACAATGTTCGGAACTGTGATTTTGAAAAAGCGTATAAATAGACTTTTTTTATATATATATATATTTAGTGTCAGTTGAAATAAAATATACCTATAAAATCATTTTACGATTATCATTACAATAAAAATTTATTTTTAATCAATTTTCTTTTTGGCAAAAATTGAAAAAAGAATTGTATATTTCCAAAGCATTCCCCTTTTATAAAAAATTCTTCTATAAGGTTCGGTCTTAGTAGAGCCCACACCCTTGGCGCGAATTATTTTGGAAGGCGATAATTGCGCCATCTTAGTTACCCTACTTTGATACACTAGATATGGTAAACCTAACTATTTCTGGAATTTTTGGGCATTTCGAATTTCATTTTATTCTAATTAAAAATAGCTGCATGGGGGGAATATACCAAATTTTATTTTGTTGAAGGGAAAAGGTAAGATATAAAATTGATTGAAGGGGTTTGGGGGGAAGGTTTGATTGTTCCCGACATATATGAATGTCCAAATGAGATGAGGGAATGGGTTATAGAACAAAAAAACTTTCTTCGAAATCGTACCAGCCCGCCGAAGGAGGCCATTTTAAAATATTGGGGGACCGACTTTCCTTTGAAAGATTTTCCATTTTAAAAAATTTTTTTAATTTTTACAAAAAAAACTTAATTTGTTTTAAATTTTTTTATTTTTGTTTAATTTTTTTTTTTAAATTTCACATCCAATCCGCTTATTTTTTCCGCCATTTTGTTTGTTTCCGTCATCTCGTTCGGGCTTCGCTTTTTTTTTGGGTTTACGCCAAGGGGGTGGGGTCTCCTAAATTTTTTCCCCCTATAATAATATTATGCCTTTTTGCTATATAGTGTTTTATACCGGGGGTTTAAATAAAAAATTTTTTAAAATATAGTTCAGAAGTGTAAATTTTAAAATTTTTTCATTGTATCATGTAAAAAATTTCAACAAAAACAACCCGTTTATTATTTTAATTGATCGTAACTCAGAAAGTAATGTGAATTTTTCGAATATATACATGTTATATACATGCAAAATGTTCCTAAACGAAGCATTTTTTATAAGAGGCAAATATTTTGAATGTATGTCGTTTTTGAAGTTATACATCTTTTGGGGCGTTAGAGCAATAGGATGAGGATAAATTTTTACAATGCGCGCGCACCTCGTCACGGATGCGAAATTCCTTTGTCTAGAAATATAGAGAACGAGACAAATCATTCGCCTTCAAATTTTCCCAAAAAATACTTCTCACTTCCCTGAAGAAGAAGACTCCCGGGTTTGAACCGGGGAACACTCGATCTGCAGTCGAATGCTCTGCCACTGAGCAATCCCTTCGCGTCAGCGAACCTTTGCTTTGCGTTCCGTAGAAACGGATACGAAAATGCTTTGATTAGAAATATGAGAACGGACAGATCATTCCGCCTTTTGAATTTCTCAACAAAAATATTTCGCTTCACTTCCCTGAAGAAGGGAGCATCCGGGTTTGAACCGGGGACCTACAGTCGAATGTTCTACCTCTGAGCTATACCCCCGCGACAGCGAAAACCTTTGCTTTCATTCCGTAGGAATATCGAAAATGCTTTTGTTTAGAAATTTGCAGAACGGGACAGATCATTCTTGCCTTTGACCCCACCCCATATTTTTGGTCCTTGTCCTGTGGGGGTGTTTAAATTTATTTAAATCGTGATTATCCCGGTTTGTGGTCCGATTGACTGAAGATTAGTATCGTTTAACCTGCTCGTGACCGCCTTTCGTCCTTTGGCCCAGCTTTTCCTGCTAAAGATTTTTAGAAAGATTTTAATCTTGTTACGCCAAAGAAGTATAACTTCTTACGTGAGTACACAAGTACACACACTTTTTTTCCCCTCCATTTTTTGCCCAAAAAGTTGCATTTAAATAATGTTTTATTGTAATAACAAACGTAAAATAACTTTATATGTATATTCTGACGCTAAATATCAAAAAATTGTTCCTTTAAACGCTTTTTCAAAATCACGGTTCCTGAAGGTATCCGACTACTTGCGACAACTTTTTTTTGAAAAAATGCAGATACGGGGATTTTTTGAGAGTTTTAGATTTGTTTAGTATATTTTAAGAAAAAAATCCTAAAATTGAAAACAGAAAAAAAATTTATTATTATTAAAATGGGGAAAAAACTGGTAAAACTATACAAAAATTACATAAACAGGGCCCGCTCTGTACAAAAATTTTATGACCAAATTCTCAATTTTTCAATTTTGTTGTCTTTCTTTATTATTCATGTTTGAAATGACCTTCTAGATAAGATATATTTTAATTTTTGCAGAAACTAGAGCACTTTATCTTAGTGATTATATTCACATAAAGGACTGCAAATTTTGAAATAAAACAGTGATTGGTAAATCTGAAGGTCAAAATACTTCTACTGTTATATAGAACATACACAAAAATTTCTCAGCAAATTGTTTTCAAAATTTTTTGAGCAATCGCTGTCTCCGCTTGAAGTGGCCGCGGTAGCCGAGTGGCTTGCCTTGATCGTGGCTTGCCTTGACACGAGTTCGAGCCCAGTACCACTAAAGACCCGCTGTGTAGGGCAGTGATGCATGTTAAATCTGTCGAGAGCTGAAACGTCCTTCCGTTGGTGTGGTGTGGTAGCTAGGAGAGAGGGGTGCCGTCCACATCACTTGACCATGGTTCAAAATTACGTGGTCCGTCGCCAAATGCCTCGTGTAGCTGAACAATGCGACGTTAATATTCAGTCAATCAGTCTCCATTTGACCTTTTCGAAAAAAAAGACACATTTTGAGTAAAACACATTTTAAAGTTCGACATCTTGTGTAAAGTCGTGGCATATGCTTTTACAAAAACGCTTGTAGTTTTTGTTTTAGTGAATGGAAAATAAAAAATTTGGTACTTTTATTAAGCTAATAATATGGCCTATAAAATAAAATAATAATAAAAAAAAAATGTCAATTTTTGAAAAAAATAATGATTTTAGGGTAGTCGGATATCTTAAGTAATTAAAATTGTTTATTTTGTTTCGTTTGGAGGAGTGGTGGGGAAGTCAAGAAAAGATTAATTAATATATCCATGTACGATGCGTTATTATGAATTGTATTTCGTTTTATATTTTTCTATGTTATCCCAAGAAATCGCTCATTTGAACTAAGAGAGAATAAGTACACGCAATAAATTTCCTATTAATACATTCATAACAACTCAAATCAGGAAATGGAGAAATACTTTTGAAAAGCGAAAGATAGGGTTATTAAAAGCGGTCTGCACTTAAAGTCTTGCCATTCTGGAGATGCTTCAAAAATACACCGCACATATTTTTTTGCTTTCAGGTGGGGTTCTCAAAAGAGGTTGAGTCGTATTTTTAAGAATGCGGCTCGGCCGCTTTCGGGAATCTTGCTTGAAGGCAGAAAAAGCATCTCTGGAATGGCAGAATTTTACGTGCAGACCACTTGGAGGATTAAATAATGATGTCAAGCTTTTCTGTTCACAAAAACATTTCTCGTACCTTCCTTTAAAGAAATATCAAAATACCATTCCCTTTTTAAAAATAGTTTGCATAATTTTGCAAATCAAGCCTAATCTATTTGAAGAAGGACATCAGTTATATTTATTTTCAAAACCATTTCCTAGTCTGGTCTTTCATAAAAAAGTCAGACGATGTCTATCTTTTCCTAAGAGTTGTATTTCAAAAGTGTATTTCGCAAGTCACACATGAGCATTTTAACTATCTTAAAAACTTTCAGCAAAACATAAAAGTAAGTGATTTAAATCTTACTCACTGTATTGTCAATGTTTACAGCCATAGTATACTAACGAATGGTTGAATAAATTAAGGAAACAGGGATGCATTCTCAATAACGTAAAACAAGCAAAATTTCGATTTTTGTGAAGGAACATTATTTTCAAAAACAAAAACTTTCCATAAAAAAAAAAAATAGTGTCATATAATCTATATACTTTTCTAATATACTGTAGTATTAGTTTTGAATGTGTACAATTTTTTTAAAAATTTTAAAAAAATTTTGAAAAGTACACCCAAAAAGGAGTTTCCCTTACGTCGTGTTGATTAGGTCCCCGTATTTTTCCTTTCATAACAAAATAAAACATCAAACATGTTGTTTTAGTTAAAAAACTGTCCCCCTTTTTTTAAAAATGCTCGGGGTTTATTATTTTATGGGATCCGAGGGGTTTAAGGTTTTTTATGAAAAACAATCACAAAAAAAAATTAACGGTTCTTAAAGAGGGAATTTATTAAAAAAAAATCCAACCCTTTTTAAATACAAGATTGGTAGCAATATTCACAGAGAAAATTGAAGGTCTTCACCCTTAAACGCAATAAAAACAAAAAACCAGTTTTTAAAAAAATACACGAAAGTAAAGATTATTCCCCAAGCAAACCCGAGTTAATCCCCAGCCCAAAAACAACCCCTACTACCGCGGGGTTTAAACCCGCCCTCGCCGTCCCGGGGCCAAAAGCATCTTTTTATGGGCGACAAAAAACTTCCAGAAATATAACACCCTGTGTAAAACTCCTTAGTGGGAGAGATCTACTACTTCTAGAAGATTCCGGGGGGTTTCCCGGGAATTTTCGCCAAATGGTCCCCAAACGACCCCAAAAAAGATCCCGGTCGGAAAATTGGGTCGCCAAACCCAAAACCAACTTGGCCCCAAAAATGATCCCAACTTGGCTTTACCGCCAAGATTTCGCCTTCTCATTGATCGCCATTATAACGTGGGGGCATTGTTTTGAATGGTAAAATTTTTAACATGAAAAAAAACATAACATAGAGTAATATAAATGCATTAAACACCAAATAAAAAAATTATTTACCCCTTTTTTCCAAAAAATTGTAACACGCCCCCCCCTAAAAAGCCCTGCACGTCCCGGGCAGTACAAACCCTTTGGGAGTAAGAGGCTTCTATTTACAGGCAAATTACTCACATAAAATCACATATGAAGTAAAAAAATGTTTTCCCCAGTATATACAATACAAAAAAATTTCAAAGCACATGAAGATATGTAAACAAAAATTCCAGTTTTAAAAATAAAATTTAAGGAATAAGAAAAGAAAATAATTACATTATTTAAAAAAAATTAAATGACCATGGTCTGAACTTATGATTTATTTTTTGGGCCAAGAAAAGGGGCTAGCCTATTGTAATTTATTACCTTGGGTTTTTGAGTGTGGTGATTTCTGTTTTCCACACCACAAGGCCCGTAGGACTGTATAAGGCCCTTCCCATTTTTGTCTGCACCCTTTGGGAGAGAGTCCTTGCGAGTTTCGATTCCAAAAACCACCCCCTTTTGTCGCCTTCGGGGGAAGTCGTGCCCGGGTTTTTCCTTGCGTCGTATCGGTCTTCTTCTTCGGAAGCCCCGATTTTTTTCCCTACCCAGATGAGGGTTTTCCCTCCATCCGTGCCGGGAGTTTCGAAATACCCTCGGGACCCAAAGGGGGAGATTTTGGTGGCCCTAAACAAAGACCCGCAGGAAACAAAATCACGCCCCGAAAAACATCTGGGAGGGGGACTGTTGGTGGTCTCGTGAACGGCACCCTGGGGGTAAGCGGGAAAAAAGGGCAATTTCCCCCCAATCCTGTTGATTACGGGGAACCAGGAGAGAGAGGCTGTCGGATGGTCCGATTGAACCCCTACCATCCCGTCAGACTGAGGATGAAAAAGTTGTTGTCCTGGTTTTGTCGATGGCGAGTTTTTTCACACGGTCTTTTTGAAAACCCGCGAATCGAATTTTCCCCCTTGATGGGAGTAAAAGTTGTAGAGGGCCCCCGAATCGTGAGATTCAGTGTTGTGAACCCTGCAAAAAAGTCGAGGCCTCTTGGCAAAATAGATAGGCTTCAGGCCTTTTTAGTGAAGAGTCCATGAAAAAGGGGATTTTGTTGTTGTTTTCGACGATTGGGAAGTGGACCTGGGATGTAAAAAAGCTTTCGTTCGAAAGGCCCCTTCCCACATTATAAGCTTAGTTTTCCTTAGTCGTTTTTTGGGTCCTTTCGTGCATCACAGGGATCAATGTGGACAACCCCCTTTTCCATTTCCCAAACGCACATTTTTCCAGTAGAAAGGGCCTACGAACTTGGGTGTAAGGTCTTCATAACCCCAAAAAATGACCTCCATTTGGGAATTTCCAAAGGCAAATTTTCCTTTTAAATTTTTGTTTTGGGAGTATTAATTGTCACCTGAATTTTTTTCCCGTCGTCAGACTCCCATTTTGGTTTAAAAACACCATTTTTAGATGGGAAGAGAGTCCCAAAAGCCCAAATAACGGGTTCGTTGTAGGGGTGGAAAGGGGGATGTCTTGCCAGCTGGGGTTTTCGTCAGACGAT